CCGGCCCCGCCGATTGGCTCGGGGCGAGGAGAGCGGAGCGGCGGAGCCGCCGCCTTGCAGCCGGGCCCGGGAGTCGGGGAGCCGGCCGCGCCGCCGCGATGAGGACGGCTGTGGTGCTGCTGCCGGCGCTGGCCGCGCTGGGCGCCTACTACGTGTACCTGCCGCTGCCCGGCACCATGTCGGAGCCCTGGAAGCTCATGCTCATGGATGCTTCTTTCCGGGCCATCCAGGAGACGGTAAGGAGCAGCCCCCTCCTCCCAGCAGCGGGCAGCGAGGCGGCCTGCAGCAGAGGACGCGAGGCAGGTGGCAGGCAGGGCAGTGAAGCCCTCGCTGCAGCAGCCTCCCTGAAGCCGAGAGGGGGCTGCTGCTGTCCGCTGCCCCTCAGCCCGCTCCCTCCCTCCTGGCTCTTGCAGCCCCTGCCAGAAGCAAGGCAGAGCCAGGGCAAGGAAGAGGCACTGCCACTGTCACTTGGCAGCCATTGCTCTTGCTTGCTGGATACCTAGCAGAAATCCTGAATGTTCGTGTAGTTGCAACCTGGAAAGGTGCTGGATGCTTTCCCCCCCTTGGGGAAGCTCTTTCTAATGTAGCAAAGCTAGTGTTTGGGGTTTTGCTCTGAAGTAAAACCCTTCTACCTTTCCGCACTTGTCTTCTGGACTAAGTACAAACAGTCAGAAAGCCTTGGGCTGGTCTGAGCTGCGTAGATGGAACGGATAAGCAAATGAACAAATGTCCACTTTTGATTCTGGAAATGCAGCCTGCAGTGGCTGAGGCCAGGAGCCCTCAGGGCGTTGGAGCACACCTCCTAAGCCAAGGCTAGCCTGCCCACCTTGCAAAGAAGGGGTTTGCTGGGGAGGAGGGAAGCATCCTGGGGTGCTGGGGCCCTGAGTGTGCTCGATTCTGGGTAACCTGTGACTGACACATCTGTCATTCTCTGATCTTCCCCTCCCCATGTCTCCTCTGTTGTTTTTCTGTGGTATGGACCAGAGGTTACAAAACCTTTTACATAAGTGTCTTGTATCAACTTCGTTCCTCTTTGGCTGCTGTAGCCTAATCTCTTTGGAGGGACCCTTGTAATAGGGTTGCCCCTATTTAAGCATTTCTAAAAAAAAACCCCAAAAACTATTTTTCTTTGCTAATACTCATTTTATTAATGCTGTGTATATGATGCACAGGTTTAGAAAACAGTTTGTGATATTTTAATGGATGTGCCTCAGCTCTTTTCCACAGACCAAGATCATAACTTTATCAGAGCTGAACAAGCTTTTTCCTCGCGCACAACGTACCAAGTCTTTCAAGGGTATCGGCCAAGTCATGTGAAAGGGCTCCATAACAGATCCCTTCTTCAACAGAAGTTAAAAGAGTGCCCAGAACCTTGTGTGACCTTCATTTGTGCCACATGAGCACCTCAAGTAATGCAATTGTGAACTTGAACCTTAATCAATTCACAGACTTTAAAGGCAGAAGGAGCCCTCTGTGATCATGTACTAGTGGGACTTCCTGGATAACAAGACACAGAATTTGATCTGGCAATTTCTTCTTCAAGTCCATGACATCTAGTTGAAGGAGAACATAGCCTTTGAAACAATACCTGCTCCTACTTTTGATATATGGAGTTTGCTCTCTGGTTCATACCAATATCATCATTATTATTTACATAGCACATTAGAGAGACATGCTGCACTCCTGGGTGAAAAATGCTGAACAAGTAAGACTCCCTGCCCTAAGTAAACAAGAAAAGGCAGGATAGAGCAGGCTGGCACCTTAGAGCAGGGGCAGGCAATTATTTTGGGCGGAGGGCCACTTACTGAGTTTTGGCAAGCCATCAGTTGCTGCATGACGGGCAGCCCAGGGCAGATGCATATTAATTTTCTAAATTTTTTGGGGGCTCCATGGACCGGATAGAATGGCCTGGCAGGCCACATTTTGCCCACCCCTGCCTTAGAGAGTAATGGGATCAGAGAGGCATGAGCTTTCTTGAGCAATGGCCAGCTTCTGACATCTACATCAGACAAAGGCTGTCTCCTGCAAAAACATATGCTTCTCTGAGCCAGTTAATTTCTAAGGTGCCATCCTCCCCTGCCTTGACTTCAGACTAACACAGCTGACTACCTCCCTTCTTAAGAAGGAAACAGGTGAGGATAATACAGAACGAAGGCAGAACTGGGTGTGATCCATTTATATACATGTTGTTATATATAGTACATACTGTAGATTAACCCTTCAGCCTTCAAGAGTTTGTTTTGCCAAACAGAAAATGGTTGGCAAATTATTAGCTGGCTTTCCAAAGCTGAAAGATGGCAAGATGTCAGAATTGGCTGATTCCTATTATAAATGGACTCTGCACAAGTCCCGGCCGCTATTTGCATAAGCTAAAATCAGAAGTCTGGAATCAAGAATTCTTCCTTATTTACGCTTTTGTAGCTGTGACAATCCAGCAAATATGCAAGAGGTGAAGCGATTTCAGTTGATGTATAATTGTATTGGGCCAACTGTATAGTTGGGAGAGATGTCAGACAAGCTTTCAAGCACTTCTGTCCCCTTGCTTAGCGGCACTTTGTGCCCAAAAACTTGTCTAGCATCTCTTAACTATACAGCTGGTGCAATAAAAATTATAGACATGAGGTCTGTTATTTTCAAAGTCCATTTTTTAATGCATAGAGTACAATACAAAGTATACATTACCGAGGATACTTTCAGTAGAATTAAAAGTTCCCTTGCCTCCCATACTGGTTGTTACAACACTGAACAGTTTTATGTTGCTTTAAATGTGACCATTGAACTTTCACCTATTTTTGCATGTATTTTCAGCTTGCTTCTGTTTATCACAATAGCATCCCACAGGGGTTTGATTTGCAGGCTGAAGCAGGACATTTCTGCTAAATATTCTAATTTTAAATTCCTTGCAGTCCTTGCAATCCTTTCTCCTAAGAGCATAAACCTGATTTCACCTGCCTCTACTAACATGAACTGTCCTTTCACCTATTTTGAAGATTCACTTCAAACCTGTTTTATTATGTCTGTTAGTTAAGCATTACAGTTCCTTGGTAGGACTGATAAGTTTACTTCTAAGTATATCAATAAGCAGCAGCTATACAAAATGCTAGCAAATATAACTAGTTTTCAAAGCAATTGTAGTCATGTTTTAGCCTATATAGCTTTTTATGCCAGTAAATCTCCAAGTTAGCTGCTTGATCCTGTAAGAGGCTAGCACTGCTGGCAGTTTAACCTTTTTTTTTTTTAAATATCAGCTGGCCTGGGGTAAATGACTGTACACCCAAAACATGAGATTAAAATACAATCAAACCTTTGTATTTCTGGCTTTAGACCAACAACATACTTAAGGTGTTTAAAGTATGTGGGCAGTAATAATAATACCTCACTCCACATACGCTACTGCACTAAGTTTTCCTTAGTGCTGACTTAGCAGGGATGCCATTACAGCAGCAACAATAAGTAGCCAGTGTATGGGGGAGCCCATGCTGTGGCAGCAGAATTGGTGCTTCCTGTTTCACTCCCTGCTTTCTAGCAAAAAAAGGCTAATGATACCTTAGTGCATCTGTTAAGTTTCACAAGAGATGTCTGTATCATTAACCCCGTTTTGTACTCGTGGAAACTGAGGCATGACTGGTGAAATAGCTTGCTTAAGGTTACCCAGCAAGCCATTGTCAGACCAATGAATAGTGCCTTAGTCCCAGTACATTGTGGCTCTACTTGTTAGGCCACATTGCTCTGAAGAGACATCAGAAACTTATTGCCGTCAGTGGGTTGGGATCAGAAGATACGGTCTCCGTTTGGAGATACAGTCTCCAAATCCACGTGTACCAATAGTTTCATGCATTACTAAAGTGAAAGCTCCTTTGGGGTTGGGCAAAGCACCCACTTGCAGTTTACAGTAGCACCCTACATTCCTTCAGGACAGGAAATAAATGAAACGCGCACTTCTTCTCAAGCTGAAACTCAGGTAATCAGAACCTTAAGCAAGTGGAAGTAGGCCAGACTACAGGGATTAATGTCTGAGTCATGATGATAGGATTTAGCCATAGACCTAAGCTAAATTCCTGATAATGTCTTAAGGTGTATCCCTTATTGCTCTTTAAGCAGTAAAACAAATGTGCGTGCATTTTACTGGGTAGAGGGTGCAGGAGTTATCAGTTGTTTACCTGATGCCCCCTTCTAAAACATTTATTTCTGAATATTGCTGCCAGGTGCTGTATGTTCTGCTGCTGACTAACCTAATTTACTAACACAAACAGACTTTCTGAACTGGAATGTCTGTGACAAAAGAGGAAGACAAATGGGCTGAGTTTGGAGGGCATCAAGAAAGCCTATCTGGAGGGGTTTGGCAGCTGTACCATTCTTCAGCCAAGAAAATCATTCCATGCTACCCTATTCCCTGTCAGAATAAAAACTGAGACATGTTACAGTCAAGGGCAGGGTGGGAGTAAACAGCATTACCTCTATATTTGACCTTCTACTGTCTAATGCATCTAAGCCACACAGTCTGCCGAAGTGCCTGAGAGCCTCATACACAATGAATTGAATGCTTAGCCAGCCAAGTCACTCTTGCTTCTGTATGCAAGAACGTTATCTGAGAAAAGGCTTGTGACTATCTTCTGTGAACTGTTATGCATGGGTCCTATCTTGATACGCACTCAGCCCCCAACAGTTCCCACTGAGACTTTGCCTACATGGAAGCTGAGCTCTGCTGAAAAAGCGGTCCTTGCATTGAAGACAGAATGGTGAGAGCAGTGATGTGGCTGGCTTGGATAAAACCATCTAACTGCCTGAATGAGTGTATGTGCAAAACCCGGGATATAGAAAAATAATTAAGACTTTGTAAAACATTCAGTCTTTGGTTTGTTTCCATAGTTTATGTTCAGTTCTACTGAGATTCAGGATTGTCCTCGTCTGTTGAAGGAGGGAGTTCCACATCTATGGATGTGCTACAGAAAAAGCTCAGTCACTCAACTTTCACAAAACTTCCTTTATTTGGGGCAGGATGTCAGTGGACTTTTGAGATCAGCTCTGAGCAGCTCTTGTAGGTGCAAGTGCAGCTGCAGAGAGAGAGTTCGTCTCATATCCTTGGAGAACAAGTCAGGACCTTGAAATGGCCAGAGACCAATTCAAGGGCCTTGAATTGGCAGTGAAGGGAGTGGAGCATTGAGCTACTGTGTTCATGTTGGTCTGCACTGAACTGCGTATTCTGGGTACAGCATGTTGCAATCGTTTCAAACTT